TGGGATCTTTCTTGTTTTTCTTTACACTTGCTCGCTGGTGACCCTGTCTGTCCATCTGGTCCTCAGTAACTTTCTTAGACTTTCTTAGCACAGCCCATATTTAATGTTATCGATCCACATTGTACGTTGTCCAGCTTTAGTCCTTGTGCCCCACATCTTACATTCGAATATTTAACCTTAAATGCATACTCACAATATGATATTCATTAACTATTTCACTCCATGTAAGGCACCAGTAGGGAGATTTTGGTGCTGTTACGCCATCATGGACACTGTGTAGATAATTTTGGGGGCCAACAAAAAGATCGAGATACACGATAAAAATTCTCCCCAACTCGAGAATCGAATTCGGGTCTTCTGTGTGCGACGGCGAAGCTCTTAATACCGGGTGGCCATTGCGGATAGGATCGGGTCGGGTCGGGTCGGGTCGGTTCGAGTCATGTCAGGTAGGGATGATGGCCCGACTCGTGGCCTGAAAATGGGCGCGATTGTCTTGTACCACGATATACGCTTTGCACACTCAATCTGGCTAGCAAACCGACCCGACCCGACCCGATCCCCCAATGGGCACTCCGTATAAGCACAACACCACAGCTGCAGCTGATCTACACTTGTGAGGCTGTTAATAAAGTTTTAAAAACCCTATAAATTTTATAATTATGATTACACAGATTCTTCTCCCTTCTTCTTTTTTTATTTCCCGACTGCTCATCAAACAACCATTCGAGCCTTCCTTGCGTCTCTAACTCGCCAAGTACGTTTTGAGATACTACTCTGCTATGAATTAAAGCAAGCGAAGTCACTGGTGGCTTGGGAATTTGCTGGTCAGGTCTGATTTGTCACATATCTGTGACCTGTCTGCCCGAAAGTTGTGTGACTCTGGCTGTCTTATAGATATAGGACACCATCTGTCCTACAGATGTTACGTCGTCTTAGAAATATAGATGTGACACCGTCTGTCCTAAAGGCGTTTTACACTGTCTATCCTGAGTTACATAGTCGGTCCTAAAAATGTGTTACACTATCGGACTTAAAAGATGGAACACCGTCTTCCTGTCTGTTTTTTCTGTCCAAAACAAAATGCGCCACACTGCCTGTTTTATAGATAGTGTTACAACGTCTAGCCTTCAGATATGTGACGCCTTCCGTCCTTTAAATATTATGTAGTTTCGGGGGTTCCCGTGGTCGAGAGGTTTTGCTGTTCGTCTCTCATTTACTACTATGTCCCGGGTTCCTCTGCTTTCATCTCCACTTTCTGCACCCACCCCCTCACCTCCTTTGTCCCCTCCTTTGGGCGCCTGCCACTCCTTGGCTCATTTTTACTGTCGTCTTTCAGCCACACACCTGATCTTATGGTAGGTAAGACACCTAGCCATTTTGGATTAGGGCGAACAATTTCGGAGTTTCTGTGTGCAAGTTGGGCACGTTAAAGATCCCTTGGTGGTCCAAAATCGAGAAGAGTAGGCTTCGGCCGCCACCATGGCAAAATTAAAAATTTCCTAGCAACTGGAAATGTTTTATTGTGGAGGGTTGGTGAACATGTAGGTCCTTTTTCTTTTCTCTGCCCCTGTCCAGATCCTGTCTAAATGTCTTGCATATTCCCTGCACTGAAGAGCTGCAATCGTATCGATATTATGTTTCTTATTGGTCAGAGAAATAAAGAACCAAACAAAGAAAGGAAAAGACCAACGAAAAACAATGGGACGGTAGCCTTCACTCTCTTTTGAAAGTTATTTGAAAAATGTATTTGCTGAAACGTGCAGTTTGAAACTATTATGGCTGCCATGTTTACTTTGTTTAATATAAAAAAATGTTGTTCTTATTGTTGCTATCGCTTTTGTTGTTGTTAATTTTTGCTTTTGTTTTTGTTGTTGTTATTGTTATTGTTTCTTTCTGAGATTTAATTCGATGTTGTCATCAAATGATTTGATAGTTTCATGATAATGGTTATGATGCCTCTGACTTTTGTTTAAATCCAGGAAATCCAAGGCTACCGCCTGCACCGACTTAAGCAGGTGGTCACGTGGTTTGGATACCTGGTGACCCTAGGTCTGTTACGTCTGTTATACTACTGGCTGCCTCACCTCCTGCTGTGGTCAAGCTACAGTCGCTGTTCGCTATGGCAAGCAGAACGAGTCCTTCTCAAGGTAACGAGGGACCGAACTCTTTTTAGACGCTCTTTGTGATTTTTTGACAACGATTGATGAAGGCCGTGCTGTTTTGGGGCACTTAAATATTTTCGTAATTCAAATACGTATACGTAAATGTACATGGCTTCTTTATCTGAAACTTAATTTAAAAAGACAAACAGCAAAACAGTAACATGCATATTGTGAAATATACACATTTGAGTGTCTAATCTGTGCATGGTCGTTCGCTTGTATCACAAAACATAGCCTTTTATGTGTTATCGGATATAATATTATTATGTGTTCGACATATTATCTTTTATCTTTCTGGTATGAGATACGTCATGGTGAAGTTAGACGCTCGTCGAAATAATGTGATAAAAGAAACTCGTTTTTTCGTTCGTTTGGTAATTTTTATCAAATTTTTGTATTTAGGCTCAAATATTTTCTGTCCTTATCAAACCACATTGCCTCGTGAATTTTTCAGAAAAAAACGTTGATTAAAGGCACACAATATGAACATTTTTAGTTTTCAAGGACCGTCGTGCCATTGAAGTTACCAAGCTTTGGCGGTCACTTTGTTATTAATTTTAAGTGATCTTCCCATGCCTAAAAATTGACGAGCGCCTGATTCCGCTGCGTCGTGACACATATTTACATGTGGCCTTTACCCTAGCTTTTACATCACAACAAGCCATTATGGTCAGCATGTCACTTTCGACTCTACCCCATACACACATATGACAGGTGATGTGCTGTGGTTTGCTACTTCTTTACTATCAAACGCCTGTTGTTCATATATCTCCTCTTTTTTTGTGTGTGTGGTTTATTTTTACTCTCATGTCACCTCTAATCTTCAGCTCTTATACATATGAACGTATCGTGTTGCTAGAGCCGTAAAACTCTTTTAAAAACAAAATATCCATCAAACACACATACAGATACACACACACACATACACACACACACACACACACACACAAACACTCATACACATACACACAATACGACATTTTCAACTGGATATGACCTCTAAAGTGTTTGGGTTTTATACGCCTACCCAGTGCACATTGCCAGTTGGATCTATCGGAATGAGTCGGAGCCAGCCAGATTTTCCTTCATGGATACGTCAAAAACTACCATTTTGGCACATTACGGCCAATTCGATTCGCGACTAAACTCGTTTGCTTTTGAAGGTCACGGTCGAATTTAATTGAATTCGGTCACATAATGCGATAAAAAGGGGGAAAGGGTAGCTTTTAGTCCGCTGTGGACTGGATATTATGAATCTTTGAATGGTATTGGCTGTGGCTTCATCATCATCATCGTCATCATCATCATCATCATCATCATCATCATCATCATCATCATCATCATCATC